CTAGTCTTAAAGCATCTATAAAAATAAGGGTATTAACAAATAAACGTAATAAATTTATAATAAAATATAATATGATTTTACAATTATTCTAGAGAAATAGTTTTGGATCACAAATATGTATAATTATACATACACATATTTCTAATGCTTAATGTTTTTATACACACTTTTATTATACGTTTTACCATGTCAAATAAGTATACACATTTTTACATAAGTATAATCATACTTTCAAATAGTTTCAAGTTTATGTTCTGATAACTCATCTTTTTTATTGACAGATCTCATAGATTCTGCCTCATACATAGCTTTTTGCATCAACCTCATTTGTTTCGACATTTTATAGTTTTGATTCATGCAATAATACGCATAACATAAGGTTGTCACAGCGTAACATCCTACTCCTATATGCGATGATATCCTTGCCTTACTTGTAAATAAATATGATACTAATCCACACGTGATGCCGCCAACAATTCCGTAAAAATGAGCGTCTCCCTGACATTTTGTTTGAATAATTGGTATTCCAAATAATGTGATAGATGTTTTCGAAGACGTTTCATCTCCGATTTTTGTTATACCGCTTGACATAATTTTAAAATCAAATTATGTACCGATCTATGTATTTCTTTCTTAAGCGATGTAAACAACCTTTACGTGTTATATAGCAATGTAGCTAGTGTAGTTATGTAGCAATTATCAATATGAAGAAAGGAAATACGAGCGCTTAAATTAAAATTTAGGCTAAGAACTAAAAGTAGAGGAAAAATAACTAACTAGTAACTAGTTACATTATCAGACAAATCCCTACCGACAAGAATCTTGACCAGGGGCAACAGGGTTCGTGTTCGTAGGGAAGGAAGAGAAACTACTTTGCTCTGATTGGCTGACGATTCATAGCTGAGCAGTGATGCCCTCATAGTCAATAATAGAAAGAGGAAATAGCGAGTGAGCAAGACAGCACGAGATCAACACAAACGTGCGAAACGTGTTACGTTGCAACCAACGTAGTTTGTCTCACTTTACCGTGCTTGCGGTCTCACTCTTTTTGCGCCTGATGCTCCATCTGAAACACGTGCCGCAATATTCGACTTGTACTCGTCGCCTTGTAAGATTCTCGACCACATTTGCCAGTGAATTTGCGAACGATGCTCAATACACATTGAGATATGTTTCGAACGTGTATGTTTGTAGAATATGTTTTAACAAGTTGAGCAGGATCAAGCTCAGCGAATTATTAACACGAGAAAATGAAGAATATTTGAAAATGAAAGAATGGTAGTTTTATCTAAAAAATGTTTATATTGGTTGACTTTTCGTTTTAACAAAATGTAGCTGACTCTGTCGTTCTCGATTATCTGTTTTTATTAAGCTTGCACGTTGCACTCGTTTCTTTCAACCTACAATATGCAACTTCAATTTCCTATGATTCATTGCATTTCATGCGTATATCATTGAGCCCATTAATTTATGTGACAATTATATTTTTAACGATACTTAAAGTCAAAGTTACATAGAAAACTACATACAATATGAAGTATTTAATTTCAAGCACGGTAAAATGAGACAAGTAACATTGGTCGTCAGTGTGACTCATTTCGCATGCGACTGTCTGATGTCGTGCTTTCTTGCTCTCTCGCCATTTCTTCTCTTTCTCTTTGATTAAGAGGGTAACACTTAGATTGTTAGCCAATCAGAGCAAAGCAGTATTTTGTCATTACCTTGATTCAAGAATCCGGTTGCACTCATTCGGGATTCTTGAATGTAAGGTTAGAGCAATTTTTAGAATATATATGAATCTTGAGTTAGAGCAATTTTTAGAGTATATGTCCAAATTAAAATTTATTCTCCATTTTGGCAACCATGAACGGCACAAGCTTCTGGTTTGGTATATATTTATTTATACAATTTATTGTTTATTGACAAAATTATCGCTCGTGGAAGGTTAAGGAATTAATTACAAGAAAAAAGCAATTTTTTGGTAGGCCATACAGTACGTTGTATACATTATTTTAGAAAGTTTGTTAAAAGTCCCCAACCTCTCATAAAAGTCCCTAGGCGTCTCAGAAAAGTTTTTTGCATATTTCTCAAAAAGAATAAGTACACAATTAAAACTGATTGATGGGCTATTATGGGCAATTAAAGAACAATTCTTTAGCTATGTTTCGTTAATATTGGTTACTATCATGAGCCAGCTTCACACGGTTTAGAGCACTTTATATGTGCTCTAAGTACATAACAAATCGATTCAATGAAAAGAAATAATTAAAATAAAATATTATACGATAATATAATTTATACCTTCATGGACATTACAAGTAATTTTTACTTGTAATATCCATAGTTTATACACTTAATCTATAAATAAATTATGTACAGTACCTTGGATTTCACATATAACTAGAAAGTTGTATTGCAAATGGTTGGCAGTCCTACCAAATCGCTTCTGAAGTCTTTTTCACGCGGTGCGGATATCGCCAAGGTACACGCGTTTAACATTCTGACTTTTAACGAAAAACAAAGTTAAAATGAGTTCAAAAATGTTAAATGTTTCTTTGCATGTTATTCGTAATATTCTAGTTTATTAAATACGGAAAGAATTTTATTTGGATTGTGCATAGAAAGTGTGATAATAGTGGATTTTATTTGTTCCTTGTTACTCAAAGTATTTGACAGCATACTGTAATTTATAATTATTTTATAATTTACAATTACTTTGTAATTTACAACTAATGTAGATAAAATAATAATTAGGCAAAAATTTTAAGCAAAATTTTTTATATCTATATAAACAATAGCTTAACCTCTAATCGCTTAACCTTTCAGATGTTTACGGCAAACGCAAAAATAATAAAAAGTGGTGCAGCAGAACCTGATGCGTTCGAAGCTAGCATTTCTCAAGCTCTTTTAGAGCTGGAAATGAACAGCGATTTAAAATCACAATTACGAGAATTGTACATCACTAAGGCTCGCGAAATAGAAACCAATAACAAAAAGGTAATACTGATTTCATATATATTAATCAGTATATTATTATTAACGATTGTTATTCATGTCTGAAATATAAGTTTCACTGATGAGTGGAAATATTAATCACTACAAATTTATTATAATTTTGTGAAGTTCAATGTTATTGCACTATGCAAACAAGTAGCAAAATCTTGTGCATTTTTTTGCATAAATGAATTGATTTTTAACATCTCTACTCTAGTGTATAAAGAGTTCAGTATATTTATTAGTGTACTATCATAAATTACGGCATCAATTTAACATAATAATAAATTAGTTTATTTCTCGTTTGTATCATCATTACATATCACTGACTTTATTTATTATTAGAAAATTTATACATGTTTTTTAAAAATTTTGTATGGTTGAAAACATGAAATTATCTTGATAATGAATATGTCTTTATAATAATGACAATAAATATTTGTTGCAGTGCATCATTATATATGTACCTATGCCGAAACTAAAAGCTTTCCAAAAGATACAAACACGACTAGTACGTGAATTAGAGAAGAAATTTTCTGGGAAACATGTAATGTTTGTTGGAGAGCGTAAAATTTTACCAAAACCGACAAGAAAGACACGCACCAAGAACAAGCAAAAGAGGCCAAGAAGGTATTTGACATAGTTACACATAGTAGTATACTTATAAATAACAAATATATGATTTAAACAATTTTTGTTTAGCCGTACTTTGACGGCAGTGTATGATGCATTGCTTGAAGATCTGGTATATCCTGTCGAGATAGTTGGCAAACGCATTAGAATTAAATTAGATGGTACTCAGCTCATCAAAGTTCATTTGGACAAAAATGAACAAACAAATATCGAGCACAAGGTAACAGTGAAAGATATTGTTAATTTTGTGTACTTTAGAAATTGATACTTATTTTAAAACTTTCTTTTTTTTCAGGTCGATACATTTGCTGCAGTATATAAAAAATTAACTGGTCGAGATGTGACATTTGAATTCCCAGAAACCTACGTATAATTTGTTACAAAAATAAAAAAACAATTGAAATATTGTTCCCTTGTTCAATATTTAATTGGCCCTATCTTGTACTGATAATTTATTCTATACTCTATGACAAAGCAATACTTCTACTACATTATATTAATTTGCCTCAAGATAAAAGAAGTCGTAAATATGATTCAACTATCTTTAAAATATTAACTTAACTCGTACTTAGAAAATGAAAATATAATGTGCTATAAAATTATTTATAGCACAGTATATAAGCAATTATATATAGCACAGTATAAGTATTTCATACTTCAGTTTTTCATCGCTATAACATCACTGTCACTTGACTAAA